GTAAATCTTATTTAGGTTATTCTGTTTTTGATGAAAACCAATGTAAACTAATAAACTAGCCTGTATAAACACTGCCAGTCTACTACTAAATAGAGATCTCTTATTAATTTGACTGTATTATATTTTCTAATATTTAGTTATAGTTTTATTAAATTAAAGTGGTCTAATTTGTTTAGTACATATGGGATACAAAAATTTTTCATTAATATTAGATGTAAGGTCGAGACTATAATTTATAAATGAACCAATCAGGTATAACAATAACAGGTCTCGAATTTTGGTGCGAAATTCAATCATCCATTCGGATAAATACAGTTTTGGCCATTATAGATGATGTCAGTTCATGATGAAAACCGTAAATGGAATTCTTAACTTTAACCATCAACTCTAAATCATAATTGTAATTCCTCACTCATACTGGTTTATAATCCTCATTTGGTACTGGTTATTAGATGGACACTGTGAAGATCAGTCTAGCGTTGCTCAAATGTCGTCCATGAATTATAGTCTCATCGATATAACATTCATATTCGAAAGTTCCATCTTGTTGCAAGTATTATGAACTGGATATTGAATAATTATCGTTTTGTCACCTTAGTGATTGTTTATTATCATGGATATTAATTGTAATCATACTGATTCCTTTCTCAGCAATCGACATCAAGTAGTTAAAATTAACTCTTCATTGTCCAACGCTGTCCCTGTTAGAATTTGCGTAATACAAGGTAGTGTCATAAGCCCTTTGTTCTTTTTAGTGTTTATCAATGATATTTGTGAAAGTTTTTGTGTGGGTAAGCCCCTTCTATATGCAGATGATCCTAAAGTAGTATATTCATTTCCTCTACATGAGCTGGAAAATATGCAAAGTTGCATCAGCATGGAGCTTAACAAGGTAGCACAGTGGTGCTTAAAATGGCAACTGGAGCTTAATACGGTTAAATGTGGATGGATATGCTTCGGCGATACATCACTGAACCTAGACCTTACCATAAATGGAGAAGTGATATCTAGGTTACATACAGTAGTAGACTTAAGACTTAGATACTCCCAAGACTTGTCGTTTACAGAACAGATATTAAAACAGACCTCTAGGTCTCAACGTCTAGTAGTTTACATAACTCGAAACCTTTATACCAATGAGTCACGTATTCTAATGTACAAAGTTTGTGTTCGACCTCTTCTAGAATATTGCACGTTTATTCTTAGCAGTGCGCGCATAAAAGATAAATTAAGGCTGGAATCAGTACAGAGATGATTTACACTTCGTATTCTTGGAGCTGATTTTACCTTAAAGTATAATTCTAGATGTTATAAACTTGGGCTAGACCCTTTATGGAGGAGGAGACTCAAAATAAATCTTATCTTTTTCTTCAAACTACTTCATAAACTATCATTACATCCAATCACGCGATTCAATATGCAGAAACTTCTCATTATGACATCCGTAATTCCTTGGTACTAGTGAAACAAACTCATTCTAAATCATCTCTTCATATGAATTACTTCACCTGTAAATTTTCCAGACTCTGGAATAACCTACCACAATCTATCCGTATCGATGCATACTGCTCCTCTGAAAATATATTGAATGTTGTAGCACCTGTAAGTGTATCTCATTCCATAAATAGTATTATAGGATCTTTAAATGTTTAGCCATTTTTACTAGTACATTCCCTGGCACACGAAATAACCTTAATTACACCGTTCATAAATCACCAGGCTGTCCATTTAAGATATATTAAAAATTCCCGGCTGATGCATTGGATCGCTGTAATACATGCACTACCTAAACAATTACTGAACTAGTATACTCAAAACTTTCTTCTATCACATGTTTGTTCTGCACATCTAAGGTTATTATTTATATCGAATTGATCATGCCTGTAAAACTGGCTTGAATTCTGTAATTATTATTTTCAGAATATAAATTATTATTATTATTTAAGATTATTACTCTCATGAATGTAGTTTAATAAAAACAATTACATCAACAATCTTCTCTTCAGCTATTTTGATTGCCCTTTAATTTGAGAACAAATCATAATGATTGTTATGCGTGCGACAAATATTATTATTGGCATTGGATGATAGTATCTCATCGTTACAAATTGGCTAAAGTTAAAAAAATGTAGACCACTCAATGCTAACTCAGTAGTTTGAAGGTTAACCTCTGAATATAATTTCTGGCTGTCCTGAATTCGGTGCTTGATCTAGTCGTAGATACGGACGGCTGATGACTTTCCATTTAGTGATGTAAAACTATGAAAACATCTAAGTTGGCAACATTTCAAATACATCAAAATAAATTTATATGATATATCTTTTTATTCTTTTTACTCGATTTTATTAGATGCTATACGTCATACTTTGTAATTAAAAAAACATTTTCACCAAGAGATAAAGCCTCAACAACACAAAGTACATGTTACTAAGGTATCAGTTGATTGTATTTCATTTGTTTACCTAAGTTTAGTCAATTGTATGATTGAAGTGAATAGAAGGAAAATGGGAAAAAAACATTTTTTAAAAAGAATTGGTTGATGTTAGACACTAACACCATTGGATGCCGGCTCAGTGGTCTAATGGTTAAGTGCTCAGGCGCGAAGCCAGTAGGTCCTGGGTTCGAATCCCGCGGGGTGCGGGATCGTGGATGCGCACTGCTGAGGAGTCCCATACTAGGACGAAACGTCCGTCCAGTGCTTCCAGGTTTCCAACGGTGGTCTAACATCAATTGATTCATGATCTCAACCAAAAAAGAAAAGCCTTCATAAATGTTGCATAGATGTTTTGCCTGATTACTATGTATACTTCCTAATTTTACTGAAGACCTAACATGTAAAGAATTGTAAGAAAGAAATTAAATAAAATGGGAAATTTCTGAATATTATATATTCAAGAAAACAATACCAAGTGAATTTAAAACCACTCTATTGCACAAGCAAGTGGCTATTAAGACTCAGTATTTAAGTGGATAACGTGATGGCGTTTAAAGCGAACGGTAATGGGTTCGAGTTCTGAGTGAAAATCACTCTGAGATGCAGATACATCCAACTGATGAGTCCAAATAAAACAAAACACGCATCCTGATTCCACTACTAGCCACTATCCATCTTTGCTCATATTTGTTTATACCAAAATAATGATTGGTATTGAGTGATGAAAATCATAAATAAAATATTTATCCATCCTTAGTAAACTTTTAAATTTAAGAGAAAAAATATGTTTACATATGTTTACGTGAAGTATTGCTATGATTAATGGAGTAGATAGATAAAGGTTAACATTGTTATTTCAATTTTTTATCTTCTGTCTCCTCTTAATCAAAGCGTATTAATTTAAAAGTAAAAAAAGATGACATTTATTGATAAAACAGTGTTGGAGAGATAACTGATCCTAGAATCTTTTACCGTATTCAACATATTTGTTCATTTAATAAGAATGTAATAAAACTGTTGAAAGGTAAACAGAATTACTTTATAAGATGAATGATGCCTAGCAGTGCAAACCAGGATGCGTGTTTCGTCCTGTCTGATACTCATCGGTTGGATATATCTGCATTCCAGAGTGAACATCAACTTTGATGAGTCCAAAATAGGCTGAACCGCGCGTCCTGAATTCAACTGCTAGTCACTATCCATCATCCTTGCTCATAATGCTTGTTACTTAATTAATACAATATTGAAACAGTCCTCAAAGAGTGCATATGTGCCAGTTAGAGACTGATCAATTGCAGTCCTAAATATCAATGGGAATATTTAAACAAATAATATGAAATGAATTAAGAATTACTTCACTTTTTACACAGTTCACATAAAAAATCAAACTGAAGTTGTTTTTCTGGTTTCACACCATAGACTAGTTTGTCTGAGACAACCAGGGAAAATCAGGAAATACTGAACAGCCGTTATGTTGTAGTATAGGAATTCGCAACAGCGTACATATCCATGACTTTATCAATGATTAAGAAAGCCATATAATGATTCCTGGTTTCCAGTGAATATCCAATTGAAGTCAATCTTTGGTGTCAAACTACAAATTCAACGATTGCTATTAACCTACTACACAATGAAACTATTTAATTGGTGTATAAAAATCTCTAATTAGCACTGAATTTTTAAATATTTTATCTATAAAACTGGAATTTTCATTACATACTTCCTACCCTGAAATGTATTCATTATCTCCTCCTAACTACGTTGTATTTAAATAATACTTGGGGATTTTAACGGTCAAATTCCCGTGCAAATAATAACAGTGCCTAAGTTTAATAAAATATAGTTGAGATAATAAATTAGCTATTAATTATAAGGATAATAATATGTACTTGATAACAAGAAAACAATCGTGGATGCGCACTTCTGAGGAATCCCATAATGGAACGAAACGGCTGTCCAGTGCTTCCAGGTTTTCCAAGGTGGTCTAAATTAAATTGACTCATGATCTCAACTATTGAAAAGAAACGATTATTATTTGTTAACTTTTTAATACACTTGATCTTGACAGACAAACGAATCCAAAGACCTAATTGACTCCATTGTGAAGATTTTGAGTTTAATACTGAGGGTTATAACTTTAAATATCCAAAAAGACATTGTACTTTTATGAAAAAGATGATACTTTAAAATAACAATGATGACATTCTCGAAACTTATCATAATAGTATTTCGAAATAAACTTTAATAATATATCAATCATCTTGTAGATCAATGAATTGCTTTTTAATGTTATTAATAGAAAATAATTGTAGTTTAGTAAGACTTTAATGAGTTCAACGACCTTTCATAAGATGATCCAAATAAATGTCAGCCGATAATAAACAACTATGCTCTTCTCGTTATTAGTATGAAGGTTAAATTTGTAACATCCTCACTTATAGTTTCCTTAGATAGTATAAATATTTTACAGGTAAGTAAGTGTCTAATATGATACTGATTTTGGCAGATATATTTAAAAAACACACAGGATCCTTTAATTAAAGAAATATTACTAGTATAACTTACCATACAATGAATTACTGTATGACTTAAATTATGTCCAAGTTTTGGTACAACAATTTGAGGTAAACTTTCCAAATATCCACCCATTGATACAGCACTAGTAACTTGTTGATATGAATGTATATCATTACTGAAATAATAAGCTTTAGCTGCAAAATTATTCACATCTATAGCAAATTGTCTAGGTGATTTTAAATTATATTTATTCAATATAGAATTAGCTTCAGAAGATAATGGTCTTAGATTACATAATGTTAATGATGGAAATGGTGATGGTGTATCACGTAATACTTGTGGTGGATGAATTACATTATACTCCAAATATTGACGTGTTAATATAAACATACAAACAAATAAACCACCAAAAAATAAAATCACTGATGCAATCCATAAAATTTGTAATGTTTTATTTCTAGCGGTCACAACTCTTGTTACTCCACGTATAGTAGTAGTTTGACAAAAATGAAGAAATTCTTTTTTTAAATCTTTTCTCAATTGAGATTCATTTTTAGAAGTTAATTTTTTCGATTTTTTAGTCATGATATTAAAACAAAATGTATTTACATTATATGAATATGAGAACAACAAGTGAAATGTTTGCCTAGTAATTAAATTTTATTTGAGAATATACCTAGAATAGGATTGGTCCATTTTTAGTTGCTAAGATTTCTAAGAATGAACCAATCATAATACAGAATTATTGATAAATGGTCATTTACAGAAAAAAAGATTAAATATAAACTTTATCTCTATACCTAATATAAAGTATAAAAAATATTTTGCACCGGTAAGAAATAATAAAATTTCTATTCTTTTAATCAGTTGTTTCTAAAGATTACTCATAAACCATTTACAAAAGATATAGGTTATAGTAACAATCTTTTTTTTTATAATATAAATTGACCTATGTTAGCGTTGAGGCATAATTTAGAAAAGTGAATAACTTTAGAAGAAGTTTCAGTTAAATGTTGAATGAATGGTGAGAATATAATTTATGAATGAACCAATCAGGTATAACAATAACAGGTCTCGAATTTTGGTGCGAAATTCACTCATCCAGTTTCAGCATTATAGATGATGTCACTTCATGATGAAAACCCTAAATGGAATTGCTAACTTTAACCATCAACTGTAAATCATAATTGTAATCCCTCACTCACACTGGTTTATAACCTTCATTTGGTACTGGTTATTAGATGGACACTGTGAAGGTCAGTCTAGTGTTGTTCGAAGGTTGTCCATAAATTATAGTTTCACCAATGAATTAATACTGTTCAATAGCTCATAAAATGAAAAATAAACTCAGGATTAATTTTGTCATTAAAGTTCACTGGATAAAGAAATGAATCTGATTCTCCAGTGAATTGGCAATGAGAACAACATTTCTAACTAAATGAATAAAGCATGATATTATTAAGGGCATATTGTCATCAAAATAAATGAAACGTATTAGAGTATTATTTATTAATCATTAAATAGTCAATCAAGAATGATAAATGTATCTTACTAGAACATTCATTAGTTCCTTACATGATTGAACATTACTATTGACGTTTAATTAATCTAATGAAATAATATACAGTTTAACCTGAAGTTTTGAAAACAAATTCTTAATAGCTTTTAATATAGAGTGTAATTTTAATGATTTCTTTCTACAAAAATCAGTAATCTTGAATTTTATACTTTCTATAGGATTTAAAATAGATAAACTTCTAAACATGTATAATTTGTTTTACTTATTTAAACACATAAACATTGGTACAAGAAAGCACCAAATAGATATGCACCACATAAATCATTCGATTTGTGTGAGGGCTAGGATACTGTCTAAGTGCCTAAATCGAGGCAGGTGGTTTCTTAGGCGGCCACACCCCGAGCCTTCGACCTAAAGGTCTGATCCACAAACCAGTAGAGCAACATAAGGAGATGCAGTCCCATGGCAGCCGGTGATCAACGATTGGTTCATACAACATTTGTCCCTTCAGGATACGAGAGCCCATGTACACCCTTGGTTTGGAATCAGGGTTTTCCAACTCCCCCAGGGTGGACTCTCCGTGTCTATCAACCCGATTAGAGTGCCGGACATTCACTTTTTGTCCTCTCAATTTCGTAAACAACAGTAATCTGGCGAGAATGTAGTGAGTAGGACTTCCCTGGCAATGGTTGTATGCACGTGGCCATGTGAAAGCATTTCGAGAGGGAGAGTCGACTCTTCTCACTCTCGGCCGTACCAGGGCATATGGGGGCTAATTCGCATAAACAAATTCATTCTTCAATCATTTCGACACATGACAATTTCAAACCATTTTACGGATTAATTCTTAGACTATAAACCTGTGAAAATCATATAAAAAATATAAAACCATTATTGAAATCGAATTCAATATGAATTGTTCTTTTAAAAAAATGATAGAACTTTCGTACTACTGAAAATGTAAAACCAAATTTTTCGTCATATAAGTTCGTCATTAATTGTGATTAATTTAGAAGTTTAGCAAGAGCAGCATATTTACAACTGAAGAACATATGGAACTCAAAACAAATGTCAACCAACGCCAAGGTCAGGATTTTCAATGCAAATGTCAAAACAGTCCTACTGTATGGGGCGGAAACCTGGAGAATTACGAAAGCTATCACCCAGAAGATACAGGTGTTTACTAACAGTTGTCTACGCAAAATACTTCAGATCCGTTGGCCAGACACTATCAGTAACAACTTACTGTGGGAGAGAACAAACCAGATTCGAGCGGAGGGAGAAATCAGGAGAAAGCACTGGAGTTCATAGGACACATATTGAGGAAATTATCCAACTGCCTCACAAGGCAAGCCCCCACATAGAATCGTCAAGGCCAAAGGAGGAGAAGACGAAGACCAAAGAACACATTACGCCGGGAAATGGAGACAGTCATGGGAAAAATGAAAAAAACATTTGATAGAACTGGAAAAGAAGGCCCACGACGGAGTGAGTTATAGAATGCTAGTCGGCGACCTATACTCCGTTGGGAGTAACAGGCGTAAATAAGTCAGTAAGTAAGTATGTAATTTAGAAGTTTCAATTCATTCTAATATTCTCAATTTTCTTTATTGCATTGAAGCAATCTTAAGATAGGACTATGGTTTTAGCTTTAAACAACGATTGAAAACCTTAGTTAGAATCGATTAATAAAACAATTTTCAACATTGTAAATAAGAAGAAAGATCGGTTTTATGGTTGGTAGCTACCGTGTTAATGATGTAATAAGAAAATTGTGTAAGTGATATTTGGAATTTGAAGAAATCTGCAGTTTTCACTGGATTTTAAATATTATTATTTAAGCAGAGCTGGATTCTGACTAGTTGTGACACCCAGAAAGCTCATTTCATCTTAGTTAGGACTTGTCAAAGGCATTACGGTGATTAATAATCCTTGCACTCTATAGGAACACCTAAGCAGTTTGCTTAAAATGCACATATACCAGAAGAGATAATGGTAATATTAAAGCCTTTAGAACTTAATTACTATTTAAGGATTGAGATCTCACTGCCGTTTAATTTTGCTGTCAAGACTCAATAGTTCAATGGGTTTCTGTTATATCCCGATGAGAATAATGGATGATAACTGTTGGGATCTATTTCCGGACTAATACTATACATATATTTTTATTGTATAATTATTTAATAGTTAAACTACGCATATTCATGTGCCTCTTATTATATGCTTTATTTCGACATATGAACTATCACTATACGATTTACCATTCTTGAGTTATGCCCAGCCTATCAATTACTATCTCCCACATCTACAGCTACTTCCGGCTAAATCTTGTGCAAATGTTGTATCCTATTTTATGGTACGATGTCGTCTGTTTGGTTTGTAGATAAACCCAGTATGTTTGAAATACATGATTCATATCGTCGAGGCTGAGATTGATGTTCTGGACTTAACAGGCAGGTCTAGGCAGGAGGAAGGATCTATAAAGACTCTAGACTGCTCGTACAGGTTTATGCGTCAGTTGTCCGGTCGATAAAGCACTGTTCTCTAATTGGCGGTATCATTACGTTATACATTAACAGGGGCACAAGTTATAACAGTTTCTAATTCAATTTAATCAATTAACAGTGTAACATAGATATAAACATCGGACATATAATAAATATTTCTTGTTCCGATTAAAGATTGTCAAAATAAATAGTAAATAGCCTGCCAGAAGTTTTATTTGTTTGCTTAATGTTCACTATCCAAAGTTACGAAGTTGTAAGTTAATGAACGTGGTTGAAAGCTTGAGGCTGAAATTAACTTAATACAAAAACATATCGATCTCAATGTGACGAGCTTTAAATAAATGTATGCCTTCTGGGTACATAGTACTTGTGCTATGCTGTGTATGATCACTTTCAATTCAGCGGTTCCAAATCAAATTGTAACTTTGATTTTCACATTACGTAATCTATTGTTGTAATATTTATATTACATCATCATGTTTATTCCTTGTTCATATATCCTCACGGAACTTATTCTTTAACAAACTTTTCACGTATATATACGTACATATATGTACAGACTGTATAGAACATCTCAGTAAAATCTGAGAACCATGCAGTAAATATTTAATATGCAAAATATCAATCAACTGTCTCAAACTTGACTATTCCTTTTGCAACTACCAGTCAGTCGTCTCAGCTTTCATTGTTCCTGCAGTTTCATGCCACTTGCGTTCTGTTCCTGTTCTTTCCTTTTTAGATCTACTGAAATACATTATATTCTTGACTATCGTTATATACTACTTATGTGGATATAAGTAGCTCACATCACAATATTACTTCAACAATATAATCGAATCCATCAAGTTTGAAAATTTCATCATGTTTTAATAACATCTGATTACAGTAGTTTCAGCCTTTTTTGTTTTAGAAGAATTATATCACTGCTAAGTAGATCATTAACCCCATATAATCATCTTGCTTTTATAATAATAAATTTCATATTATACTAGAAGCAAAGATTACTTTTGATTAACTCAACTTTGAATTTCAAGTTTTTTGACAAATTATGTAACTTAGTGATTATTTCCCAAGATAAGTCATCTATCATAATCTTTATAAAGAAAAATTCATGTCCAAAATCTCACAGACATATCATTGTTTTCTGTTTATTCTATAATAACTTTGAGCTTGTGGAAATATTGTGTCTGATATAATTCACTATCCTGTTTCTCAATAAATATGACATTACTTTCATAACGAAAGATTAACAACAGAACCGCTGTTTATATCGGCGAACAAGAACAACCTGAACCGAAAGGATCGTATTCAAATAGCATCTACCTGGCAAATATTTATTAACAAGTAATTGGATCCTTTCTTTATTCAACCTGTTTATTTCACATGTATCGTTATTTTGACTGGAATCTAATGTGAGTTATTTTCAATAATACATTTATGAGAATGGGTTTTGTGGAGATTTTAGAAATTTCACAAGTTGAAATCATGAGTCAATACATTTATGTTTTTGATGTTTCTCATTGTACTTGCACTTCAATGATTCAGAAGAAAAAAGCTTA